TAATTATATAAATTATATATATGTAGAAAGAATTTGGAGAAGATGAAGAATGAGGATGATTGAATGTGAGAGATTGAGAGACTAGAGAATTTAGAGAGTAGGAAGAGTTGTAGAAGAAGAGGTAAAAAATGTATAGAAAATAGGAGTATAAATAGGTTTTTTTTGTATACCCCACCCCCACCCCACCCCCTAACCCCCCAGACCCCCCCTCCTATGCTCCCAACGGCTATAGTGCCGTTTGGGAGCTCTCCCAACGGCTATGGAGCCTTTAAGTATTTAATTTTATTTTTTTTAAAATGTGACCGTTGCGGCCCGGCCCGGGCCCGGCCCGGCCGGGCTGGTTCACTAAAATGAAGGCCCGGGACCGAACCGCTAGAAGACCGGGCCGGGTGGCCCGAACCGGGCACCAACCGGTTCACCGGGCCGGTCCGGGCCCGCACAGTAGCGGACGGACCGGTTGGCCCGGCCCGAGTCCATCCCTAAATTTATTGAAAAATGAGTAAACTGTAATTTTCGTTAATGTTTGGCACCCTATCGAATTACTTTGATATGGTATTAATATATGTTTGAAAATAAAAAGTTACCGATATACTGTTATATTTGAAGTCTTATTCAAATAGTTTTTTTTAAATTATAAAAAATGACTAGATACACTACATTATATTAGGGATAAGTGATTAATATAAATGAATAATTTCATTATTTTGTTAGAGGTCACTATTGATTTAATTATATCAATGTTGTTTAAGTTATTTTTAAAAGAATGTTATTTCGTACTATGTGACATGTTGAACTGTTTAAATATACAAATAATTATTGTTCAATATTGAATATGACATCAATATGTTATTGTTCGTATTTTGTAACGTTTTAATAATTGATAAGTATGTCGTTAGTAACATCGATTTCGTATATTTTGTTAGTCTATGATAAATTATTGCATTGAAAGAGTCATGTTTGGTAATTTATTGATACCGTATTTTTACTGAACCGAAATTTTGGTATACCAAAATATAGTATATTGAAATTTCAAGGAAGTTAAACAATATCTAATTTTTGTATACCAAATGTTTCAGTACGACAAAATGATGAGAGAGAATATTAGGTATGTTGTATCAAACCACTCCAATCTGGAACTGTGGAAGAGAAGCATACCCCTGGGGCAGGAACTCTACAATTGAAGTTGAGATGGGAGAAAAGGGATTCAACAAAATTAGTCATGTTGCATTGATGATAAGGGGTTTGGACCTATTTCACAAAACTGCTTCTACTCCTTCAAAAGGTAGAAGTAGATATTGAAGTGTTTGGATTGAAGTGTATAAATGCATGGCCAAACATTAATTTGATTACACTTGTGTTTTTAAAAAAGAATAAAAAATAGAATCAATTCTTAACACTTTTTTAATTTCTTAACATATTTTTGATGAATCATACATTGTAGATTCTAGTTCATATGAGATTCTATTAAGAAGAGACATTTTTAGTTGCTATGAAGACTTCTGGAAAAGATCTTCTTTGTCTAAAATTAAAGTAGGATGGAAAAAGGAAGTTTAATATATTCAATTAACCCTATTTATTTGGAGGGTTATTCTTGGTGTACCCCATTTGTACATCACCATTTGTGTGGTTCACAAAAGGCCTTCATAAGTTAATTACTCATTAATAAAGAATTGCCTTTTGTGAACCACACAAGTACGGGAGGCACATATAGGGTACCCCAAAATGGGGTACCTATAGTACTTTTCTTATTTGCAATACCTTTGAGATATGTGTTAGGGATATTAGGGCCCGGTCCAAGTACATGCCCAAGATATATATATCCCTAAAAGGCCCAAGTTCAATGCGCTCCAACTCACAAAGAGTATGTACGGAAAAGATTGCGCGGATCTGCCGAATGGCATATACCGAACGGGCACAACACCAGACTTGGCAGAGAAGGGAGTTAGCCATACAGTTTCAGCCCAAGAAGATTGGCGGGAAACCCCAATACTGATGGGAAGCGCATTTAATGCAAGAGATATGAAGAATTTTATGGTTGAGGATCATCACATCACCCCAACTACTCCACAATAGTATAAATACCACCATATATTTCATTGTAGGGGGTTAGCAAATTTGTACTCACATCAAGATATTTGATTCTAGCTTTTGTATTAGTCATCTGTTCCGGAGATCTAGTTCGGCCTTTCTTGTGTAATCAACATACTTTTTTTTACTCTAGGGGGCGTCTGGGGGAGCGGCCATGGGGGTGTGTGTGTGGAAATCAGGGCTGAAACTTGCCCCATTTTGTTTTGAACCCGAGACCTCCCGTAATTAGCATACTTACCTCAATATAGTTGACTACTTGATTCCTCTTGTTGACCATTATTCAAGCTTGCTTGATCTCAATCTCTAAATTCCAACGATAGCCAAAGGAACATGTTGGACATTTGGACTTGGAGGAATAAGCCTCAACACAGTGTGATAGTGGGTTGGCTTTTTCTAACAAAAGCCAATTTTAGAGCTCGTTTGTGATGTACTCCTAATTTACCATATTTATGATCTTGTTTTGTCACACTTTTAAAAGCCATTGAAGATTTGGAGGCACTACCTCTACGGGGAGTTGTGTCACATTTACACCGACCACAAGAGCCTGAAGTATGTGTTCACTCAGAAAGAGTTGAACATGAGACAGAGGAGATGGATGGAGTTGATTAAGGATTACGACTTGATCATTGACTATCATCCAGGCAAGGCTAATGTTGTAGCTGATGCACTGAGCAGGAAGAGCTCATCATCAGGGGTTTTACTCACATGCTTACGGGCACTGAGGGCACGCGTGGAGGTATCCACGGATGGGGCGCTATTGGCCAGATTTGAGGTGAGACCCACCTTATTAGATGAAATCAGAACATGTCAAGGCAATGACGAGGAATTTCAGAAAATCCGGGAACGGATGCTTGTGGGGCCCGTCGAGGGTTTCCGTGAGAGAGAAGATGGACTTCTACTATTCAAGGAACGAGTGTGTGTACCATCGGATGAGGAGCTCCGAAAATCTATCCTTGAGGAGGCTCACTCATCTGCGTATGCCATGCACCCGGGCGGTACAAAGATGTACCGGGATTTGAAGGAAAACTACTGGTGGTCGGGGATGAAGAGAGAAATTGCAGAATACGTGAGCCGTTGCCTTACTTGCCAACAGGTTAAGGCAGAGCACCAACACCCGGCAGGGTTACTACAGCCACTTACCATTCCAGAATGGAAGTGGGAGCATGTTACCATGGACTTCGTGGTGGGTCTACCACGGACGGTTAGGAACTACGACGCAGTATGGGTGGTAGTCGATAGGCTGACCAAGAGCGCTCATTTCCTACCCATCAACACTACTTACACGCTCGAGCGGTTGGCCAAATTGTACACAGATGAGATTGTGAGACTGCATGGGGTTCCGGTTACTATAGTATCGGATAGAGACCCACGGTTCACATCACGGTTTTGGCCTAAGTTCCAGGAATCCATGGGTACGAAATTGAGGTTTAGCACCGCGTTTCATCCTCAAACGGATGGGCAATCTGAACGGGTGATTCAGATCTTGGAGGACATGTTAAGGGCATGTGCCTTGGAGTTCCAGGGGAGCTGGGACAATCAGTTGGCTTTAGTAGAATTCGCCTATAACAACAGTTATCAGGCAAGTATAGGCATGCCCCCATACGAGGCATTGTATGGGAGGAAATGCCGGACACCATTGTGTTGGGATGAGGTCGGCGAGGCTAAGCTCGAGGGCACCGAGTTAGTCGAGATCACTAAGGAGAAGATAAAAGTCATACAGGATAGGTTCAAGGCTGCCCAAGACCGGCAGAAGAGCTATGCTGATAAACGTCGGAGGACGTTAGAGTTTGAGGTTGGTGACGAGGTATTTCTGAGGGTATCACCTTGGAAAGGGATCATCAGGTTCCTCAGTCGGGGTAAGCTTAACCCACGATACATAGGTCCGTTCAAAATCCTTGAAAGGATTGGGGTTGTAGCATACCGACTTCAGTTGACCCCAGAATTAGAAAAGATTCACAATGTATTTCATGTTTCTATGCTCAAGAAGTATGTGCGGGACCCGTCACATATTCTCGAGAAACCACCGGTAGAAATCCGAGAAGACCTACATTATACGGTACAGCCGGTAAAGATCATAGACCGGCAGGTAAAGAAGCTAAGGAGCAAAGAGGTGCCGATGGTAAAGGTACTTTGGAAGAGTGATCGTGTCGAGGAGCAAACGTGGGAGGTGGAGACCCTAATGAGGGAACAATATCCATTTCTGTTTGATTAGACACATGGATTTCGGGGACGAAATCCCAAATAAGGGGGGTAGAACTTGTAACACCGCCCCCGAGTATTCGTACTGTACCAAATTATGTATTGAACCTTGAGAAATGTATAAAAGCATTTTTACGTGATTGTAAATTTTTATCATTTCTATTACGTGAATAGTAAAATTCACGTGGGGCCCACACCGGATGTGGGGCCGCCCGATATTATCGGGACCACATATTATATTAATCTTGGATTAGATAATATGTATATGGTGGTGGATATCCTAATTGGGCCATGACAATGGCACAAGGTTGACCGGTTGGTCAAACGGGCCAAATTATCGGTATCGGCAATTTATTAGATAACAGCCCGAAAAGGGATTTCGGAGACTTCTAAATTAAAGTTGGGGAATGCATATTGATCCTAAGGTCCAATAAGGATTGGGAACAAGTGTTATATTTTATTTGACCCGATAAAATAAAATATACTTAAAACAGTCCGGAAAATACAACTTTCGGGACCGATTGTACACTTGGGAACATATAGGGATGGACTCCCACATGAGTGGGGGCCACCCCACGAATTTGGTGCTGCAAATGTCAAAGGGAGCCGCACCTAATGCTGCTGATTGAGGCTGGAGATGAGTGAGAGACAAGATGAGAAAAGAAAGGGGCCCTCCTCCCACATTATTATGAATGAGCCAAAAGAAGGAACCATCCTCACCCCCCACACCTCATCCACTCGACCCAGACCTCAATCATAGGGAGAGAAGCTCTGCTAAAACTCCATTTTTCATCCACCATTTTCGCACAAAGCAAGGGGAGGAAGAAGGAAGGGAATAGAGAAGAGAAAAGTTGGTTTTGGAGAGGAAAACTTGTGTTTAGCAAGGTAAGGACTCCATTAATCCCATTTCTTGTTCTTCAATACTCTTTTATGATTATTCAATCATATTTCACACCCTAGTAATGTTCTACACGTTGGGATGTGTAGAAAGAGGGGTTGGAAGGTAGTTCTAAGTCCAAGAACGGACTTAGAAGCCAAAGTGACCGGTTCGCCGGAAAATAACCTTTTTGAGGTTATTTGTATCACTATGGGTTTTAGGACGATAAAACCTTGTTATTAACTTGTCTGAGGTATTCAAGGAACTTCCACGGAGTTGAAAAGGTCGCCGGAGTTGTCGCCGGAGTTCGTTGAAGTTCGCCGGAGTTTCGTCGGAGCTAAATCGGGAAGGCTAGAACTTCATAAGCTTCATTAAGGTGAGAAGACGGCTTTATGCTTTATAACTTTTGCGTAAGGCATGAGATTACCTAAAGTAATCAAGGATATGTTTTGTGGAATGATTAAAGATAATCAAGTATTTGCTTATGCCATGATTTTGCATGAAACATAGTTGAAAAGCATGTTATGTAGGTTTGGTGATTAAAAATGTGATAACATATTTTGTGTGATGATCCAGGGGTCCAAAATGGTATTTTTGGATCAAGGACATCAAGAAGTATATGTGTATAAAATTTCAAGTTAATCGGACTCCGTTTGGGTGGTCAAACGGGCGTTGACCACCAAGTCAATTGCCATACCCGACCGGGTATTAACACATACCCGACCGGGTATTTGTTGAAAACCAACCTTGTGGACTACTGTCTCCTGTACTCGACCGAGTATGGGTTAATACTCGATCGAGTATTGGGTTATGCTCAAAACGGGCAATTTTGAGCGGGTTAATGTGGGCCGTTCAAGTGGGATCCGCCCGCATTGGTTCCTAAGGATGATTATATGACTATAGGGCTAGGTATTGTCCATAGTTGAAGGAACGAAAGGTTAGCCATATCCAGGTTAGGGTTTGGTGAGGATTTAGTTTGGGGTTGAGTATCCCCGGGACTATAAATGATCCTGAAACTCGGTTGGGGTTGAGCATCCCCGGGACATTAAATGATTCTGAAACTCGGTTGGGGTTGAGCATCCCCGGGACCATACATGATCCTGAAACTCGGTTAGGGTTGAGCATCCCCGGGACTACAAATGATCCTGAAACTCGGTTGGGGTTGAGCATCCCCGGAACATTTAATGATCCTGAAACTCGGTTGGGGTTGAGTATCCTCGGGATGCTAAGTGCTCCCAAAACTCGGTAGGATATTATGAATGTAGAATGTAGCTGGTGAGCTAGGCATTCGGGAAAAGGGTGAGAAAGGTCAGGTAAGAACTTTATCTCTAAAAGACTCTTTGAATGAAATGACCTACGGGTCGAGTATTTTACATATATATACAGTATGTATCATCGGATGAATGAGTCACATATATATATATATATATATATATATATATATATATATATATATATATATATATATATATATATATATGAATCACCCTATTTTTGGGTCTCGTGTCTGAAACATTAGTTATTCTTCATATAGCCTGCTTGTCACTAGTACTTCTATGGAGTACTGACCCCTCCGGGGGCCCTCACATTTTTCAGGTTGAGGCTAGAGTCCTACTACCTGCACCTTTGCCTAGGGTGACTGATCGAGAAGGAAGACGTGGTTCGTGCTTCCATTCTTATTTCAAATGTATAAATCGCTCATGGATTTTTGAACAATATTTTCATTAAAACAGTTGGGGGCTTGCGTGCCCGTGTTTGCCACGTGTGGCTAAGTATCAAACATTTTATTATTTTCCGCATTTGATTGATTAGGATATTGATGTTGATTGTATGTGTTTACTAATCGGTTTGGCAATAGAATAAATCGGACGCCTTGTACAACTCAATAGGGATGAACTGTTGTTGTTCTTATCGGGTTGTACGGCGGTTGTCTACGTGGCTCGGATGCGGTCTGGGGCGTGACAATTAAGTGGTATCAGAGCCATCGATTTCTAAACTATATAATTAACCTCTCAATATGGTTATCCTCAAAAAGTTTTGAATAAAACCATGAGCAACAGTTTTTGTACTTAAGGAACCGTTGGAAACCAAGTTATTGACCTCTTATTGTTAAGACGGTACCCTTAACAGTTTGTTGGCCATAATGTTGGACCAAGTGGTGTCTTTCGTACTAATCCGTCAATTGACATTGAAACGAGTCTAATGACTCATTCCTTATTTCTTTCAGAAATGGAGGGTGGACGCAGGATAACTAGGAGGAACCCGACAGGGCATGTGCCGGGGGCCACCGGGCATGCCACTCGGGCAGAATCACGGACCTCTAGGGGTAGAGGCCGGGGCCAAAGCCGAGGAGGAGGCCGAGGCAGGGGTCGTGGGCGTTCTACCACGCCGACGACAAGTAGCACACGCGTCGGTTCCGTGCACCCGTCATGGGCCACCGAACCGGACGACTTCACCTATGCTCCAAGCACGGAGCAAGAGGAGACCCCGTACAACAGGGATGACTTTGAGGAAGAAGATGAGGATGATGATCCACATTATGACCGTATGAGTGAGGTACTAGAGTGGTACCTCGAGAATAAAGCAAAGAGAGAGCAGCGGCGCCAAGCTAGGCAGGCTAGGCAAACCATGGGGCAGGGAAGCCGAGGTGCTTCTAGTGCTCCATCCGGAGCATTTGCGGGAGACACGATGGTGCGTATCTCCAAGTATCTCAAGGAGGCCAGGGCCTTGGGGTGCAAATCATTTGATGGCAAGGGCGACATATCCGAGGCCGCCGACTGGATTAAGAAGCTGAATGATGCTTCTAGGGATATGCAAATTGGACTCGACGTGAAGTTGAGGGTTGCCACCAGGCTACTGGAAGGGGTAGCTGCTGTATGGTGGGAAGGCGTGGAAGGAAAGTTTCACGGTGAGGCCACTTGGGAGAAGTTCGAAGTGGAATTCTATAATCAGTACTACTCAACTTTTGAAGTCAATCTCAAAAGAAGGGAGTACACAAACCTGAAACAGGAGGATGGTTGCTCGGTGAGGCAATTGGAACAAAGGTTCCGTGACTTGGCCCGATTCATCCCAGAATACTCTCTGGATGAAAATCGAATGGCCAATCATTTTTGGGATGCTCTACAGTTGGACATCCGTGACCGGGCTACTTACCATCACAACATGACATTTAGCCAGATTGTCGATCAGGGGCTCCTTGGGGAAGCCCAATGGAACGAGAGGAAGTTGAGGGACGTCGCGGAGGCGAAGAAGAGAAGATGGGGAAACTCGGGACCCCAAGACCACACCCGGAAGCATCACGCTGGGGGTGGCAATTCATTCAGGGCGCCGGCGCCACCGGCGAAAAGGAACAAAGGTTCAGGAGGGCAAGGGCCCAAACCGGGGGGTGTGGGACCACCCAGGTGCGCAAACTGCGGTAAGAACCACGGGGGAAGGTGCAATGAACCACCCCGGTGCTTCAAATGCGGTAGCACGAGCCACCTCAAATCCTCTTGTCCAATGCTGAACGGGGGAGGACCATCGGGAGCCATGGGAGGACCTACGACTAGTAGGGGACGTGCGGGGCCGTCTCAGGCCGGCACGGGAAGGAGCGGACCCACGGCTAGCAACGCCGCGTCCGTTAACCAAGGGAGGATCCAAGCACGGGTGTATGCAATGACCGAGGCTGATGCTCGGGCCAACCCGGACTCCATTGCAGGTAATCTCTTGATTTCACACGTATTTGATCATGTAATGGGTTGAAAAATCTTCAAAATTATGAAGGACCCGATCGGGTACTCCTATAGACCCGACCGGGTATAAGCTATGCTTCGAGTTTGAAGTGTGCACCCGTTCGGGCAGCCAAGGCAGGATGCCTTATTTTTGACATTTCGAGCAATACCCGATCGGGTATGGCTATATACCCGACCGGGTATGTGTAGATTTTGAACTTCGAAGCGTGTACTCGATCGAGCGTAGAAAACAGGGAGCTTTTATTTGTGGATTTTGAGTGATACCCGACCGGGTATAGTATATACCCGACCGGGTATTGACATTTTGCCCGAATTCGAGGCTGGTACTCGACCGAGCAAGGAAAACAGGGGGGTTTCCCCTTAAGAATTCAAGAGATACCCGACCGGGTAGAAGACCCTACCCGACCGGGTATAGGGTAATTCTAGGCCGAAAATTTTTCGTTCGGTCCTTTTCTGTCGGGATGACGAATAGGGTGTCTTACATGACTTATATATGTAGGAACACTAAAGATCAACGATAGGGATGCGAGAATTCTCATCGATACCGGGGCACAACGTTCGTTTGTGAGCGAAGCGTTTGCCAAGGGATTGAACATGCCCTTGGTAGCAATGACGCAACCTTTGCTGGTCTCTACGCCATTGGGAGACGATGTAGAGCGGAAACACTACTATCCCTCGTGTAACGTAGGGATAGGGGGGCACCGTCTAACGGGTGACTTCGTGCCGTTAGATATGCTCGAGTTTGATGCTATACTTGGCATGGATTGGCTCGAAAAACACCATGCGAAGGTAGATTGCTACACCAAGGTATTAGAACTAAAGGATGGAGAAGGAAACACTCTATGCTTCGAGGGAGATAGAGGGAAATTCAACCCTTGTATCATATCGGCCATAAGAGCAAGGCGTATGATGAGGAAAGGGTGTCAAGCATACTTGGCCTATGTCATAGGCAAGGAGGGCAAGGAAAAGAGTCTCACTGAGGTGAGAGTGGTGAGTGAGTACCCAGAAGTTTTCCCTGAAGAACTCCCGGGACTCCCACCAGAGCGAGAAATTGAGTTCACCATTGAGGTAGAACCCGGTACAAAACCCATCTCGATTCCTCCATATCGGATGGCACCGGCTGAACTTCAAGAGTTGAAGGTGCAATTGGAAGAATTGCTGGACAGCGGATTCATCAGGCCGAGTCATTCACCATGGGGAGCACCGGTACTATTTGTAAAGAAGAAGGATGGTACACTCAGAATGTGTATCGACTACCGTCAGTTGAACAAGGTCACGATAAAGAACAAATATCCTTTGCCAAGGATCGATGACTTGTTTGATCAACTACGGGGGGCAACGGTGTTCTCTAAGATTGACTTGAGGTCAGGCTACCATCAACTGAAGATCAAGGAGAGTGACATACCCAAAAGTGCATTCCGTACGCGGTATGGTCACTATGAGTTTCTAGTAATGTCGTTTGGGCTTACGAACGCCCCCGCGGCATTCATGGACCTCATGAACCGAGTATTTCACCAATACTTAGACCAGTTCGTCATAGTGTTCATTGATGACATTTTGATATACTCCATGAATGAAGAGGAACACGAAAAACATCTAAGGCTTGTGCTTGAAACACTGCGGGAGAAGCAACTCTTTGCCAAATTCTCTAAATGTGAATTTTGGCTTGGGGAGATCGGTTTTCTCGGGCATGTGGTATCGGGCTCGGGCATTTCAGTTGATAACTCCAAGATTGAGGCGGTCACTAATTGGGAGAGGCCCAAGAACGTGAAGGAGATAAGGAGTTTCCTCGGTTTAGCGGGGTATTACCGCAAATTCGTGGAAAAGTTCTCGGTGATAGCATCCCCACTCACGAAGCTCACTAAAAACGGGGCTAAGTTTGTGTGGGATGACAAGTGTGAGAAGGGGTTTCTTGAGCTAAAGAAACGTTTGACCGAAGCACCAGTGCTTGCCTTGCCCGTGCAAGGGTTAGGGTATGACATCTACAGCGATGCTAGCATTCAGGGACTGGGATGTGTACTGATGCAATCAGGGAAGGTAATTGCTTACGCTTCTCGGCAGTTGAGGAAGCATGAAGTAAACTACCCCACCCATGATCTGGAGCTAGGTGATGTGGTATTTGCATTGAAGATTTGGAGGCACTACCTCTACGGGGAGTTGTGTCACATTTACACCGACCACAAGAGCCTGAAGTATGTGTTCACTCAGAAAGAGTTGAACATGAGACAGAGGAGATGGATGGAGTTGATTAAGGATTACGACTTGATCATTGACTATCATCCAGGCAAGGCTAATGTTGTAGCTGATGCACTGAGCAGGAAGAGCTCATCATCAGGGGTTTTACTCACATGCTTACGGGCACTGAGGGCACGCGTGGAGGTATCCACGGATGGGGCGCTATTGGCCAGATTTGAGGTGAGACCCACCTTATTAGATGAAATCAGAACATGTCAAGGCAATGACGAGGAATTTCAGAAAATCCGGGAACGGATGCTTGTGGGGCCCGTCGAGGGTTTCCGTGAGAGAGAAGATGGACTTCTACTATTCAAGGAACGAGTGTGTGTACCATCGGATGAGGAGCTCCGAAAATCTATCCTTGAGGAGGCTCACTCATCTGCGTATGCCATGCACCCGGGCGGTACAAAGATGTACCGGGATTTGAAGGAAAACTACTGGTGGTCGGGGATGAAGAGAGAAATTGCAGAATACGTGAGCCGTTGCCTTACTTGCCAACAGGTTAAGGCAGAGCACCAACACCCGGCAGGGTTACTACAACCACTTACCATTCCAGAATGGAAGTGGGAGCATGTTACCATGGACTTCGTGGTGGGTCTACCACGGACGGTTAGGAACTACGACGCAGTATGGGTGGTAGTCGATAGGCTGACCAAGAGCGCTCATTTCCTACCCATCAACACTACTTACACGCTCGAGCGGTTGGCCAAATTGTACACAGATGAGATTGTGAGACTGCATGGGGTTCCGGTTACTATAGTATCGGATAGAGACCCACGGTTCACATCACGGTTTTGGCCTAAGTTCCAGGAATCCATGGGTACGAAATTGAGGTTTAGCACCGCGTTTCATCCTCAAACGGATGGGCAATCTGAACGGGTGATTCAGATCTTGGAGGACATGTTAAGGGCATGTGCCTTGGAGTTCCAGGGGAGCTGGGACAATCAGTTGGCTTTAGTAGAATTCGCCTATAACAACAGTTATCAGGCAAGTATAGGCATGCCCCCATACGAGGCATTGTATGGGAGGAAATGCCGGACACCATTGTGTTGGGATGAGGTCGGCGAGGCTAAGCTCGAGGGCACCGAGTTAGTCGAGATCACTAAGGAGAAGATAAAAGTCATACAGGATAGGCTCAAGGCTGCCCAAGACCGGCAGAAGAGCTATGCTGATAAACGTCGGAGGACGTTAGAGTTTGAGGTTGGTGACGAGGTATTTCTGAGGGTATCACCTTGGAAAGGGATCATCAGGTTCCTCAGTCGGGGTAAGCTTAACCCACGATACATAGGTCCGTTCAAAATCCTTGAAAGGATTGGGGTTGTAGCATACCGACTTCAGTTGACCCCAGAATTAGAAAAGATTCACAATGTATTTCATGTTTCTATGCTCAAGAAGTATGTGCGGGACCCGTCACATATTCTCGAGAAACCACCGGTAGAAATCCGAGAAGACCTACATTATACGGTACAGCCGGTAAAGATCATAGACCGGCAGGTAAAGAAGCTAAGGAGCAAAGAGGTGCCGATGGTAAAGGTACTTTGGAAGAGTGATCGTGTCGAGGAGCAAACGTGGGAGGTGGAGACCCTAATGAGGGAACAATATCCATTTCTGTTTGATTAGACACATGGATTTCGGGGACGAAATCCCAAATAAGGGGGGTAGAACTTGTAACACCGCCCCCGAGTATTCGTACTGTACCAAATTATGTATTGAACCTTGAGAAATGTATAAAAGCATTTTTACGTGATTGTAAATTTTTATCATTTCTATTACGTGAATAGTAAAATTCACGTGGGGCCCACACCGGATGTGGGGCCGCCCGATATTATCGGGACCACATATTATATTAATCTTGGATTAGATAATATGTATATGGTGGTGGATATCCTAATTGGGCCATGACAATGGCACAAGGTTGACCGGTTGGTCAAACGGGCCAAATTATCGGTATCGGCAATTTATTAGATAACAGCCCGAAAAGGGATTTCGGAGACTTCTAAATTAAAGTTGGGGAATGCATATTGATCCTAAGGTCCAATAAGGATTGGGAACAAGTGTTATATTTTATTTGACCCGATAAAATAAAATATACTTAAAACAGTCCGGAAAATACAACTTTCGGGACCGATTGTACACTTGGGAACATATAGGGATGGACTCCCACATGAGTGGGGGCCACCCCACGAATTTGGTGCTGCAAATGTCAAAGGGAGCCGCACCTAATGCTGCTGATTGAGGCTGGAGATGAGTGAGAGACAAGATGAGAAAAGAAAGGGGCCCTCCTCCCACATTATTATGAATGAGCCAAAAGAAGGAACCATCCTCACCCCCCACACCTCATCCACTCGACCCAGACCTCAATCATAGGGAGAGAAGCTCTGCTAAAACTCCATTTTTCATCCACCATTTTCGCACAAAGCAAGGGGAGGAAGAAGGAAGGGAATAGAGAAGAGAAAAGTTGGTTTTGGAGAGGAAAACTTGTGTTTAGCAAGGTAAGGACTCCATTAATCCCATTTCTTGTTCTTCAATACTCTTTTATGATTATTCAATCATATTTCACACCCTAGTAATGTTCTACACGTTGGGATGTGTAGAAAGAGGGGTTGGAAGGTAGTTCTAAGTCCAAGAACGGACTTAGAAGCCAAAGTGACCGGTTCGCCGGAAAATAACCTTTTTGAGGTTATTTGTATCACTATGGGTTTTAGGACGATAAAACCTTGTTATTAACTTGTCTGAGGTATTCAAGGAACTTCCACGGAGTTGAAAAGGTCGCCGGAGTTGTCGCCGGAGTTCGTTGAAGTTCGCCGGAGTTTCGTCGGAGCTAAATCGGGAAGGCTAGAACTTCATAAGCTTCATTAAGGTGAGAAGACGGCTTTATGCTTTATAACTTTTGCGTAAGGCATGAGATTACCTAAAGTAATCAAGGATATGTTTTGTGGAATGATTAAAGATAATCAAGTATTTGCTTATGCCATGATTTTGCATGAAACATAGTTGAAAAGCATGTTATGTAGGTTTGGTGATTAAAAATGTGATAACATATTTTGTGTGATGATCCAGGGGTCCAAAATGGTATTTTTGGATCAAGGACATCAAGAAGTATATGTGTATAAAATTTCAAGTTAATCGGACTCCGTTTGGGTGGTCAAACGGGCGTTGACCACCAAGTCAACTGCCATACCCGACCGGGTATTAACACATACCCGACCGGGTATTTGTTGAAAACCAACCTTGTGGACTACTGTCTCCTGTACTCGACCGAGTATGGGTTAATACTCGATCGAGTATTGGGTTATGCTCAAAACGGGCAATTTTGAGCGGGTTAATGTGGGCCGTTCAAGTGGGATCCGCCCGCATTGGTTCCTAAGGATGATTATATGACTATAGGGCTAGGTATTGTCCATAGTTGAAGGAACGAAAGGTTAGCCATATCCAGGTTAGGGTTTGGTGAGGATTTAGTTTGGGGTTGAGTATCCCCGGGACTATAAATGATCCTGAAACTCGGTTGGGGTTGAGCATCCCCGGGACATTAAATGATTCTGAAACTCGGTTGGGGTTGAGCATCCCCGGGACCATACATGATCCTGAAACTCGGTTAGGGTTGAGCATCCCCGGGACTACAAATGATCCTGAAACTCGGTTGGGGTTGAGCATCCCCGGAACATTTAATGATCCTGAAACTCGGTTGGGGTTGAGTATCCTCGGGATGCTAAGTGCTCCCAAAACTCGGTAGGATATTATGAATGTAGAATGTAGCTGGTGAGCTAGGCATTCGGGAAAAGGGTGAGAAAGGTCAGGTAAGAACTTTATCTCTAAAAGACTCTTTGAATGAAATGACCTACGGGTCGAGTATTTTACATATATATACAGTATGTATCATCGGATGAATGAGTCACACACACACATATATATATATATATATGTATCACCCTATTTTTGGGTCTCGTGTCTGAAACATTAGTTATTCTTCATATAGCCTGCTTGTCACTAGTACTTCTATGGAGTACTGACCCCTCCGGGGGCCCTCACATTTTTCAGGTTGAGGCTAGAGTCCTACTACCTGCACCTTTGCCTAGGGTGACTGATCGAGAAGGAAGACGTGGTTCGTGCTTCCATTCTTATTTCAAATGTATAAACCGCTCATGGATTTTTGAACAATATTTTCATTAAAACAGTTGGGGGCCTGCGTGCCCGTGTTTGCCACGTGTGGCTAAGTATCAAACATTTTATTATTTTCCGCATTTGATTGATTAGGATATTGATGTTGATTGTATGTGTTTACTAATCGGTTTGGCAATAGAATAAATCGGACGCCTTGTACAACTCAATAGGGATGAACTGTTGTTGTTCTTATCGGGTTGTACGGCGGTTGTCTACGTGGCTCGGATGCGGTCTGGGGCGTGACAACAACGGCCGGTGCTATTTGCAGAAAGAAAATGAGAAATAAGCTTTCACACCAAGATTCAAATCAGTGGCCGCCCAAATTCAATGATTTTTATCTTCATTCGGAGATATATTCTGATCCATACCCTTCTTGTGCTACTATATAAAGGAGTCATCCAGGAGCTTAAAAAAAACCAAGTTCGGATAGAAATCATTCTTCAATTCTCTTTTCTTTAGTTTATACGAAGTATTAGTAGCTATATAATAAAAGTGATTCTGCCAAGAACACTTTCTATATAGATTTCAGTTTATAATTCTCAGTTCCAGAATTTTAGCTTGTGATATTTGGTATTGAAGTTCATTTGGGTTTATCAATTCGTTCAATCAGTTCCAGCTTAATACAAGGATTTCAACTTTTCTATTCCAGCCCATCTATGTTCTTCATTATTTTATGCCTTCAGGTTCTTACTTAAACACTCACTTTAATTTTCTTAATCTGTTAAATTTATTATGTCTTTCATGAATTTTGCTTTTATTTTATTTACCGTAATTATGTGTAACTAAATTAAGTTTAGGCTTGGGCAAGATGTAATTTTTACTATTAATGTTCATATGATAATAATTGGTTAAAACTATTAATTGGTTAATTTTAGGAGTGTTGGGTTGAATATTCTAATCTGCTAAATACATTATATTGGGAAATGAATATTATCACGGGAGTGAAATTTTATTAAAATACTTTTTATTAATTCACCCACTAAATTGCTACACGGAAGTGTTAATGAATTTAGGATAGTTTAATTTTGTACTTTTTACTGTCTTAATAAAATTACTGCGGAAGCGGAATTAATTTAAGATAGTGTAATCAACTAAGTCGTGGGAACGATTAGAAGATTACCATTTGCAAATCTTTCACACATCTAAAAGTAACTAAGTTAATTAGTTAAATCTTTATTATTATGAACATCAAAATAAAATTACTCTTAGCCCAAGCCTAATTTTCTTTATAGCATTAATTGTTAAATTACCAAGTATTGTGATTTATTTTACTCTCTAGCAATTTCGCATTAACAAAAACAAGTTAAAAAAAATCTATTCACTTAGCTCCATTGCAAAATGTTATTAATTTGTGATTAGCTAAAAATCAATCGTTAATTCTAGTTCTCTTTTTGAGCCATTCTCTAGCGGAACGATACTCACTTACTCTATACTATATCGTTACAAGCCAATTAAAACATCATTTCCATTCACATTTTTACACCATTTCACACTACACATTTTGGCATGTCACGATTTTGGCGCCGTTGCCGGGGAATGGCATAGTGTTATTGATTGATTATTAGTTAATATTAGTGTTTGTTACTCCCTCCGTCCCGCTAACAATGGGACAAGAGGGAGTGACACGCAAATTAATAAAAAGTGGTTTCTGTGGTTGATATTGAATTGATAAAGTAAGAATAAAGTAAGAATGATTTAGAGTCACACAAACTTTACTAAATTTGGTATGGGACGATCTTAGTGGGATGGACCGATAAGGTAAAATGGGACAATCATAGTGGGACGGAGGTAGTATTATTTATCTGGAGACTAAGTATTTTTTTTTTACCCGTTCTCATCACTTTTGCAAAAAAAAAAAACAAAAAAAAAGGAAAAAAATCATTTTTCGTGCACTAAAAAAAAAACTCTTAAAAAAAGTGTATGCATACTCGCTCTCAAGGGAGTGAATGATTGCAATCACTTAACCTTGATTTTGAAAAAGAATTAAGGAAAAAAAGAAAAGCACGAACCTTTGAACTTAAAATTCCAGATCTGATCATGGAGGATTTTCAAAACAATCCCAATAATCCAAATGGCCAAAACCTAATTCCAAATCCAAATCCTACGCCACCTCAAAATACACCCGTTGATACTCCCAGAGATAGACATAATCCTTTCTTTGGAGATCAAAGACCACCAGGATTTGAAAGTTTCCAACAAATTCCTCCCCAAACACATCCCCAAATTTATCCACCACATCCCTACCAAAATCACCAAAACCAACCTCCTCCTCCATATCCATACACTTACCCATATCCTTACCCACCTCCTCCATTTATGCACCCATACCAACCTCACCCATATGGCCAATACTACCAACACCCACATAATCAACAAGATCAAGGGCAATTCATGAGACAACAACAAGGGAGAAGACTTCTTGATTATGTTGCAGGTGAAATTGAGGAACAAGACATTATTCTCTATCCAGGTGTGGATGCAGCAAATTTTGAGATCAAACCAGCACTTATCTCATTGGTCTCAGCCAACAAATTTGGCGGATCAAAGAGTGAAGATCCGACGAGCCATGTGAAACAATTCTTGAGAGTTCTCCAAACTCTTAAACTTAATGGAGCCTCTGTTGATGCTATCAGACTCAGATTGTTCCCATTCTCACTGAGGGATGAAGCATTGAGTTGGTTGAACTCTAAACCATCCGGTTATTTCAACACATGGGAGAAGTTGCATCGAGAATTCATGAAGGAGTTCTATCCTCCTTCCAAGGTATCAAAAATGAAGAAACTTATCCAGCAATTCAGGCAACATCCATCAGAATCTCTTTACGAATCATGGAAGAGATTTAAAGACCTTCAAGTTCAATATCCACATCATAATATGAGCATGGGTGATCTCATTGTCTCATTTTATGAAGGATTACATGATAATTCCAAAATTGTTGTGGATGCCTCTGCTAATGGAGCTTTCATGGAGCTAGATCCTGAAACAGGCAAAGAGATGCTTGAGAAAATTTGTAACAACAGTGCATCATGGTATTCTGAAAGATCCACTCAAAAACTAGGAGCGGGAATTTATGAGGTCGACCAAACAACAGCTTTAACGGCAAAGGTTGATTCTCTCACAACCATGGTTCAAAAGCTCACGGTGAAACAATCATCATCAACTTCTAGCACATCAACAAATCCATCATCATCTTTAGCTCAAGTTTTGTTCTGTGAACTCTATGGAGGAGGACATTCTTTTAAGGAATGCAGTCTTTTTGAACTTACAAAGAATGTTCCTTCTGGCCCCACAGTAGAACAAGCTGAAGCTATATATGGTAGACCTCAAGTACCATATCAAGGAAACTATAACCCTCAAGGGAAGACACATCCAGGATTCTCATGGAGCAACCCATCAGGTACAGCAAATTCATCTTTTCCATCCAAACCAACACCTCCAGGATTTCAAAATCAACAAGGATTCAGAGGAGGAAACCAAAACAACCAACAATTGAGGGGAAATCAAGGGTATCAAAATCCTCAAGGGTACCCACCGCAACAACAATTTTCATCACCTCCTCAACAACAACAATTTGTTGGAGTTAATGATTTCCAACAGATGATGCAAGGTATTACTAATCAATTTTCTCAACTCACCACTCAACTCAACCAAATTCAAGCTCACAACAAAATGCTTGAGAGCCAGATTGCTAGTTTTACTTCACCATCTACTAGCAAAGCTCAAGGCAAATTACCTGCCTACTCTGAACATCCCAAGGAGAATGTCAATGCAATCACTACAAGGAGTGGAAAACAACTTTTTGATCCACCACTTGTAGTTGAAAAAGAAAAAATAACTGAAAAAGAGACTTCACCACCAAAGGGGAGTAACGAAGAAGGTCTCAATTTCCCAACACAAGAGGGCACGAAAAAGGTAGTTCAACCACATGTTCCACCTTTACCGATTCCTTACAGAGCAAAGAAGAACACAATTGATGAGAGGAGGGATAAATTCCTTAAATGGATCAGACAACTTAACACAACAATTCCACTTCTTGATGCTCTGAAACATATGCCTTCATATTCCAAATTTCTGAAGGAAATTCTGTCAAACAAAAAGAAGTTTGAAGAGAAAGCTACCGTAGCCATGAGCGAGGGATCCAGTGCTATTATTCAAAAGAAACTTCCAGAAAAATTGAAGGATCCAGGTAGCTTTACTATTCCATGCATTACTGGAGGGTTCATGGTCAACAAAGCTTTGTGTGACCTTGGGGCTAGTGTTAGCCTTATCCCTTATTCTATGAGCAAACGACTTAGTCTTGGTATTCCCAAAGCTACTTCGATGACCATTCAGCTTGCTGACCGATCTGTTAAGCATCTTGTTGATATTCTAGAAGACATTCCTGTACAAGTTGGGAAATATTTCATCCCTTGTGACTTTGTCGTCCTAGACATGGATGAAGATGAGCGAGTACCTGTCATATTAGGAAGGCCTTTCTTGGCCACTGCTGGTGCCATCATTGATGTTAAAAAAGGTACGTTAATAATTGAAGTGGGGGATGAAAGGGTTGAGTTCAATATTTTCCAAATGGCGAGAAATCCTTCATGTGTGGAAGATTGTTGGAGGGTTAATATAGTTGATGAATGTGTGAGAGACTTCATGGGATTCTTTCACAATGATCCTATGGAAGCTTATGCTGTGGAGGAAATTGAAAAAAATCATGAGGGAGAAGAGTTAGTTGAGCGTGTAAAAAACAAAGAGAGTTGTGAAAAAAATCATGAGGGGGGGAAAGTGGACAAACTGGAGAGAGAAGAAGTGAGGGAGACTAATAACACAAAAGAACCACCCAAAGTTGAGTTGAAGCCTTTACCATCACACCTAAGATATGCTTATCTTGGTGAAAACTCTACTTACCCAGTGATTATTAGCACTAAATTGAATGAGGAGGAAGTAGAAAAGCTATTGGTCCTATTGAGAAAACACAAACAGATCATTGGATACTCCATCGATGATCTAATTGGCATCAGTGCTAACTATTGTAAGCACAAAATTTATCTTGAGGAAGGATGCAAACCAGTTGTTGAACATCAAAGGAGACTTAATCCTAACATGAAGGATGTTGTGAACAAAGAAGTTATCAAACTTCTTGATGCTGGTATCATTTACCCTATCTCGGACAGTAGATGGGTAAGTCCAATCCATGTTGTACCAAAGAAAGGAGGTTTCACAGTTGTTCCAAATGAGCATAATGAGCTCATTCCTACTCGCTTGGTCACGAGATGGAGAATGTGCATCGATTACAGGAAGCTTAACAAAGTCACAAATAAGGATCATTATCCTTTACCTTTCATTGATCAGTTACTTGAGAGGATGGCAAACCATAGCCATTATTGCTTTCTCGATGGATTCTCAGGATATTTTCAAATCATGATCCATCCAGATGATCAAGAAAAGACTACCTTCACGTGTGCCTATGGTACATTTGCTTTTCGAAGAATGTCATTTGGCTTATGTAATGCACCCGGAACTTTCCAACGGTGTATGATGGCTATATTCTCTGATCTTATTGAAGAAATCATGGAGGTATTCATGGATGATTTCTCTGTCTATGGGACCTCATTCGACTCGTGCTTGGATAATCTTGATAAAGCATTGACTCGTTGCCAA